TTCTTCTTCTTCTTCTTCTTCTTCTTCTTCTTCTTCTTCTTCTTCTTCTTCTTCTTCTTCTTCTTCTTCTTCTTCTTCTTCTTCTTGTTTTTTTAATTTCAGGGAAGGGTCTACCGGGTGTTCGGGGTCTTACTACTAGATTGGACTCCCAGTGACCCACCTGTTTACAGCCGCCCGAGAGATGGGATTACAGGTGTGTGCCATCACGCCCAGCCTCAATTTATTTTAGCATGCCCTGGGGACAAGGCTGGTATGGCAGGCCCAGGGCTCAAACCCCTGGCCCCTGTGCCTGCTTGCAGGTGCTTTATCCTGCTGAGCTATTTGGCTGGCCCAGATTAATGCCTCTGATCTTTGTTTGTTTTTTCTTTAAGTTTTGATGACAATGGCCCCAAAGTGCCTCTGGCAACAGTTCTACTCCCAAATCGGAAATAATCTACCTCTATCTGAAACCCCACTCCTGAGCCCACCTCCCAAGCCTTCTGCCATTCTGTCACACAGTTCATGTAAAGCAGCCTTCTGGCTTTATTTCCCTGTCTCCCCAAAGCCCATAGTTCCCGAGATGCATCCGCTTGGACCTTGTGATTACCTGCCCCTGCTACTCTCACGAGGACACCCATGTCTCAGGCTTCCTCATCTTGAAAACTCCCCAAAGTAAAACAATCCCACAACCTGACTCATTCTGGAACAGGTGAAGCTAACTGGTGCTAAGAAAAACTGGATTAGATGTAGAGATACCTGAGCCTGCGCAGACTCTGTGGCAGTGGGGCTTAGCTGAAGATGGCTAGCGCTCTCTCGGTCATCTCTGTCTTTGTTCTTGATAGCAACGTATCCCCTCATGCAATGTGATATCTACATTTTCTTCTCCAAGCTTTTCATTCAACCTTTATCTCCTTTGCTTTCAATAAAGACCTTACTTCACAATAGGCAAAAAACTCCAAAAAAAAAAAAACCAACAAAAAAACCCTCATTTTTTAACCCAATGTCTAAGTAGTTTATTTCTGCATCTATTGTGCTTCTTTCCTTTCTGTCTCAGAGCAGAAAGCATCACACGCTCACTTCTCTGCTTCAAAGCTAACCCTTGCATTAAGGTTCTTGATCTTTTCCTGAGCTGTAGCTCTGGACTTGCTGCTATTTGTCTCCTCTCCTTCCTCAATTTTCTTTTTCTTTTCTTTTTTTTTTTCTTTCTTTTTTTCTTGCGGTACTGAGGATTGAACTCAGGACCCTGTACTTGCCAGGCAAGCACTTATTCTACTGAACTATCTCCCTGGCCCTTCCTTCCTCAATTTTCATCTTCTCTCTACTACAATGACTCCGTTCCCCAAACCCGTGGATGTGCTCCAAGCTTTCCAACCTGGAAAGGAAATTCCTATAGTTTCTATCTTCCATTTTTCCACTTTTTTCCCTTCATCCAACTTGCTGAATTCATATTTCTCTCTTTCCTAATCACTACTCCTCACTTCATTCTCATTTGAAATCCTCCCACAGCCCAGTGAAATTGTTGTGTAATGATAAAAATAGCCTCCTCATTGCCAAACCCAATGAAAACTTCACAGATTTTGTTTTTCTTGAGTTCTTAGGGGTGTTTGTTATTTATTTTTGGTACTGGGAATCAAATTCAGGACCTAGTGCTTAGCAGGCAGGTACTTATGCCACTGAGCTATATCCCTGCCCTCCAAGGCAATTTAATGTTGCCCACTTTTTCTTAAAATTCTCCCCTTGATGCCTGTAACACTAGACCCCTCCTTCTGGTTCTTTTGCCTTCTGAACAATTCCATTGGTCTCCTTCATCTGTTCTTTCACTCACCCGTGCCTTAGATGTTGGTGTTTCCTAGGGTTCCAGCATCAGCTCATTGCTTTCTCTCCTCATGTTTTTCTCAGGCAGCCTCATCTATGACTGTGGCTTCCCAAATCTCATCTCTAGCTCAGATCTGTCTCCCTTGAGGAAAAACCCCACTGGGGCTAATGTCCAAAACTGAATCCAACATCACCCGCACTCACCAATTTCACTCAAGTCATATTCCTTGTCCTGCTTAATGATAACATCAGCAGCCCAGACACTGAACATTAAACTTAAGAATCCTTAACTCCTCTTCCTCTGTATCATGCAGTAATAGCTGACATTACCAGTTAGTTTCACCACCTCTAACCAATCCCCCAACAATTCTATCAGACTGGATTCTTAAATATATATATATATATATATATATATATATATATATATATATCCTAATCATAATATTCCTCATTGTAAAATAGTTAATTTATTGTTCTCAACTGCTAGAGAGAAAATTCAGGGCTGGGGAGATGGCTCAGTAGAATAAGCGCTTGCTTGGCAAGTGCAAGGGCCTGAGTTCAATCCCCAGTTCCGCCGAGAGAGAGAGAGAGAGAGAGAGAGAGAGAGAGAGAGAGAGAGAGATCAGTTACATGGCACAGAGGGCCTCCTTTCCATCTCCCCAATTTCCTAGCTTCGGCCTCCAGTTTCCCAGCCCCCAACACCTTCGGCTCTGTTCCTGAACTCTCTGTGGTACTCATCTGTGCCATGTTCTTCCAAGCTCCTCCACCTCTGTAATGCTCCCTGGGATTCACTGCTCTGGAACATCCACCTGGAGAAGAGCTTCCTCCCATCCTTGAAGCCAACTTAAGGCACAGTTCCTCTGTGAGTTCTTCCCTAAGAGGTCCCAGCGTGAATCAGGTCACTTCTTTAGGTAACGCCAAGCTGTTCTCCAAAGGCCATGTCCCTGTCATGTCTCTATCTCACTCTAGCACAATTACTTTATTTTAAGTCTGTCTCCTCCACTAGACAAGTATTCTTTCGGGAGAGAAGGCAGCAGCAGTTTCCCAGCCCATGCTCAACTCTCAGCTGGTCTCCAAATCGAATCATTGATCATCTGTGCTCCAGGGAGGCCTGTCCTCCACTACCCTGGGGAAAGGACACTACTGCCCTACCTCTTCCAGGCCACGGATGGGGGAAGGGGAACAACAGTGAAGACGAACAGAGTCCTTAAAGAGGAACAGCTATCAGAGGCCACCAGGGCACAAGAGACTGATTTTGTCATTGTTTTCAAATACACTACAAGTGGACACATACAAAACTGAGCAGATGAAGGCAAGATATAAGCTGTGCAAATGTAGATACCAAGAGACCAGTAGGTGGGAAACTAACTGCCAGTCATAGGAAAAGCACACTTGAAGTGGTGTTGTCGTTTAGGTATAACATATGAAAACATAATTGTTTCACCTTATTAGTACATGTTTACAGTACCTACTGATCACACTCTCTGTAAAGGATTGGTAAATGTACAGAACACATTTCAATTCTCTTCCTTTTGTTTTTTGGTAAAAGGAATTGGACCCATAACCTCATGCTTGCCAGGCGGGCGATGTGCCACTGAGCTGTATCCCCAGCCAAAGATTCCTTCTTTTTCTCCCCTCTCTCCAACCTCTTTTATTTTTCCAGCATCAGATTCATTTATTTATAAGACCTTATAAAGTTAGTTATTATATATACAGATTGAAAACCAGAATAGGCCAAAAAATATATAAAACATGTAAGACTGAAAACTCATAGTCTTTCTTTGTGTTTATCCTCTTGAATAAAAAATATAGAATTGTGAACATTCATAGAACAAATAATCATTTTTGTTTCACAATGTCCAACACCTATTTTATCTTCTTTGAAAATTCCATCACATTTTTGAAAACTATAAAATTAATTTTTGTATGAAATCCCTGGTTCTCCCCAAATTAATCTTATACAGACAGTTCTTAAGCATGTTTGAGTCTTCAATGCCTAGCACGAGCAGACACCTTGGTAAGTATTGTTTAGTAAAGAAAAAAGAGAAGCACAGGAAAGAGTGACTCGAAGGAGACCCTGATGCTCTACAGAGGAAAGAAAAAGCTCTCAGTTCACCTACCTGGTTTAGGGCCACATGCATCTGGTCTACCAAGAACACATAAAGCTCACTGATAAATGTCTGTAGTTCCTCCTGACTTTCAAAGGATGTTGTCTTCAAATATTTCTCTCTCACAATCTTTACCACAGCGTGCTGCAAGACATACACATTACCCTTCTGTTAAAATCACAGCACTGCTGCGCTGATAGCACAGGTCAGGGCTTTGGGCCCAAGGCGCAACAAAACCAGATGGCAGGGGCTGGGGAGATGTCTCAG